CAGAATAATTCCTGGACTATGGTCTGTCCTTATTTGATGGCGTATTTATGCTAAAACAGCATGGACATATTTAGTGTATAGTGCTGGAAACTACTTCATAGTTTTTAAAGAGAGAAAGTAGTTGAAATTTTGTTTATGAAATTGTAGAGTCCAATTGCGTATGAAACATGCTTCTTTATGTCACGTTGAAAGAAAAGAAAGCATACTCATGGTTGCTGATTACAGCTTTTAACTATATATAATTTATAAAACAAATCAGTAATTAAGGCAACGAAATGGATAGAGAAAGAGTTTAATTTAAAACATGGACTTATAATGGACATGGAAATAGAGTCAATCATGTTTATGGACAATTGATTTTCCTGCAAATATTGCGCAAATGATGGACAAATGTACAATTGTTAACTGGAGAAAATTCTAGTAAATATATATTGTGGATATACCTCATAACATACATAGTAAAATTTTTAAGAGATTTAGATAGTTAGATTAGCTTAAGAGTTAAAATTACTTGTCAATATATTTGACAAATAAATTGGTACAGTGAACGGCCTCCATCAGATTTAAATTGAATCATTACGTATATTAAATAAAAATAAGACTTCGCATGCCAAACTTTGCATGAGTATTCCTATTGTGCTCTTCATAAGTTTGTCTAAAATTATACTAAAAGGAATAAAAACATTTTCTTTGGTTCGTTCTTGAACTGCTTTGGTACCCATCCCCAATCAAAAAAATTAAAAAGAGAGAGAGAGAGAGATGCTCCGCCAAAATAGGAAGTTGAAAAGAACCTTACTACATGTACGTCAAGCTTTACATAATGGATTACATAATATCACATGTCACTTATCATTTTCCAGTTGAAAACACAGTCAACTTTTTCATCCAATTTTTTCCTTCCACATCATTTTATGTGACCCCATATAAATTATTTTTATGTACAAGTAGCATAATCGAGTTAAAAATGGCGGGTTGGATTGGTCCCAACCAAGAAAGGCATGAGTTTGTGAGCATTGTTTACGTCGAGTTAAGCTCCCAGTTAATTATGGAAAGATTATATGTAAGAACCACTTTTCTCAATTATGTTGAGTACTAAATTGTTGGAAGATTTACTACCATCAATAATAAGCAACTGTAACACATCATGTTAAAGTTAATTTTAGTTTATCCATTCATGTTCTCACTTATTCTATTAATGTCAAATCACTATTGTAGGGCTCACGCATATGTGTCAAAGATAAGAGACTAAGATCAATAAGTATAAAATAAGGATTTTACCAAAAAGGAAAATAAAATATAGAAGAAATAAATTAAATTCATATATGAATATTCAAACCTCAAATCATGCAACAAGTAAACTGATTGTGCTTGCTTGCATGAAAGATTGAAGATTTTCTTTTCATCTTCTACTGCAAAATTAACCTTGGCAAGAAAATAAAAAGCCCATAACATATCATCATATATGTTATGAATGACGGGTAAAAAGTCATTTTTTTAGCTTGAACAAACATAAGGCATCAGCCTAATAAGGACGTTCGCCAATGTAATTGCCTGGAGGATCATAATTGCATGAAACAAATGTCCATCCATTTTGGCATTTAGCCCTAGCGCAGCCAACCCGCTTGGTGTTGGCCCAAACAACCTGTGTGTAATGCAAACATCCTTCTCCATCACAAGTGTTTGACTTTGCATTATAAAACTTCTTCTCCTCAATCCACATATCCACAGCTTCCTTTGCAGTCAGATTCCATGAGGCTGCTGCAATGTTTTCGCCATAGGGTCCCTCAGAATGCTCCATTGCACAATCTGCAGACCTTTTGGTGACATATTTCTGTGCGTAGGCAGCGAGGGTATTGTTCCACACGAGGGGGGCCACGCCGACTTCATTGCGGGCTACGTTATGGGCATTGACGAATTTCTGAGGGCCGGTTAGGGCGAAGGATAGAGTGGTTAAGGCCATTAAACACACCGAGACAATGCAAACCTTGGAGGAATC